ATATATATATGTGTGTGTGTGTGAGAGAGAGATAGAGAGAGAGAAAGAAAGAGAGAGAGAAAGAGAGTAAGCACGTGCATAGGCCCGTACGATCGTGTGTGTTAGGTTCGATCAAATTGGGAGAAGAATGCGATCAAATCAATAACACATGTGCCCCTGTCTCTTCATTCACAGTCTTTCGAAACGATGTGACAGAGAACTCAGCGGATACGTAAAAGAGTTCCCCGTATACAACGAAGAATCGCGCTCGCATCATTTCCGGGGTTAAGCTCATGGCTCCCCCTGTATAGACCATTGTCTTTCCAACCCGCACCGTATTGAAGCCAACAAGCGGTCATTTGTTCAGATCATTTATAGTTCTCTTGCCCTATGAAGAGCTATTTTTATTGACATAATTTACACAGCACCGGAACATAGAGGAATTTATATCTATCAAAATGGCTGCCCGTGATCGAGTTGTCGGTGTTCAAACCAATTAAATAACTACAAGTATGAATACTGTTTGTTTTACAGGAGAATTTCATAGGCATTTCTTAAATAGAGAATTATCGCAAAGTAATTTTGCTCCCATGCCGTCCATTTTATAGTAACGGTCTTTAATATCAAATGTACTAATATTGACTTCCGTATAGATATCTGCTCGTCGTTGAATTATTTTTTTTCACAAAATATTCCTACATAGGTGCTTTGTGTTCCTATCCCCACCTAGCTTATTAATATTCTTATGGAATCCCAGCTCGGACACTTCCATAACGTACCTTCTGGAATATTCTCTCAGTCTTTAGTCGTTTGAGGATTAAAATCTAGATGACATTGGACAGTAATATTAACTCGCAAACACAGTTTTCTTTCTTACTATTAATGCTTTCAATTGCAATTTTTTAAAAAAATGAGCAATGCAGAAACACTTTTTTTAGTCACTACCATTATTCCTGTATAAATAACAATGGCAATTGTTCGAATGACCTCTTCGCTATGGTACCTAGACTTTATCAATTTAAGCGCAGTACTAGATTCGCGGCAAGGTCTCATCAATTCACTGTTGAATTGGCTAGATGTAACCGTAAGTTCTAGGCTAACAGTTTCTTTTCTCGCACTTCTCGCTTGTGGAACTCTATTCCGGCTCCATTATTTCCAGCCAACATTAATCTTCAAAAATTTAAATGCTTTCTGTCTTCTTGATTACTCGTCTATTGTTCTCGCTCCTTAATAATGTTTTTGTTTTTTTGCTGTTTTTTTTTTTTTTTTTTGCTTATTTTTTCACATTCAATAACCCCTTGTGTCTTCGTGGCTTTACCGCCTTGCATGGGGTGATATGATTAAAAATATAAATTAGTTTTATATAGGAATAAAGTGTCGCTGCCGACACTTGAGTTTGAACATAGATCGCCAGTGAGCAAACACAGGCGAACCGATTATTGATGTAGAACACGTGACCATAGAGGAAACCCATATATAGGAAGTGACATGACGTTTAATTGATCCTCATTTCTAGTCTATCCTCTATTACCATACGGATCGCTATTTCTACTCTATCCTCTATTATATTACGAACCGCTATTCTCTATACCCTTTCACTATACTGATTACTGTTCGAGGCAGTCTTATCAAGCAAGTACTATTAGTACAAGTGTTATTTGAAGGCGTCTAACACCAGTATTGTTTAAAGTCATTACTATAGTTGTATCTGCGATTACAAAGTCTCTACTACAACGAACATTACGAAAGTGACAACAGTTATTCGTTGACATTACAAAAGTGGCAACGATTGTTCGTTGCCATCAAAAGAAATAGAAAGGAATAGGTGACAGTGATATCTACGTTTATTATATTTTATCAGTTCTCTCAGAGAGCCGAGTGGTTAAAATATTTGATTTGCGATATGCTATTTGGGTTGTAGTCGATTTCCCACTCCCTACTCTATGCAGTTACGAAACTCACTTTCCTGGCGTATTTGTTAACAATCGCCAACGGGAATTGCCGAAACACAAGCGAGTCAACAATCAGCATGATCAGCCTTTTCATCATCGTGGTGGCTGTAAAACAATCAACGCTTGGCTAGTCTTACAAAATGGCCAAGTGATATTTCCAGATTTTCAACTTGTATCATATGAGTGTTAGATTTTACTGCAGGACATGTATTGATCTGTGTCGCAATTTAATTGAAACTCTTATTACTATAGTAGCTAAAATCCGTAAGTGATTGTTGGAGATGAAAATGTCGAGAAAATTTCCTATATTCGAGTTGAACCTGTTGAAGACGTGCGCTGTAGGAAGAAAGGACATTGGAAAATAAGTTTTCCTCTTTTCATATTTTGAATGTATATTGTACAAATATCCAGCCGCATGAAAAACAAATGAAACCCTATCTTTATGAGATCAAGAATTTAATCACTTTTCGTTATCTCACAAATATTACGCTATTTTTTTTTATTTTTCGCAATGTATTTCTTTTTTATTTTTGTTCTAGTTTAGTAAGGTTCATCAGTGGCTCCAACGTGAAATTAAATTGCTATTAGTTCGATTTGGCATTACATATAACCCCTTCGCTAATGCCTATATGTCTGCCTCGTTTAAAACTGCTCAATTCAGCTCAACAACTGGCGAATATGAGAAGTGCTATTTGACATTCTATTTGTGCTGTGTACGATTTCCGACTCCGTCGTCCACGCAGGTACGAAACGCACTTTTCTCTCGTATTTGTTAACAAGCGCCAACGGGAATTGCCGAAACACAAGCGAGTCAACCCTCAGCATGATCAGCCTTTTCATCATCGTTGTGGCTGTAATACAATCAACGCTTGGCTAGTCTTACCAAATGGCCAAGTGATATTTCCTGATTTTCATCCTGTATCATGTGAGTGTTAGATTTTAACGCAGATGTATTGACGTGTGTGTCAATTTAATTGAAACTATTATTGCTATAGTAGCTAAAATCCGTTCGTGATCCGGTGATTGATAGAAATGAAAATGTTGATAAAATTTCCTATATGCGAGATGCATGAGCCGGTGGAAGACGTGTGCTGGAGGAAGAAGGGTCATTGGGAAAACAAGTTTTTCTCTTTGCATATTTTGAATGTATATTGTACAAATATCCAACCGCACAAGAAACAAATCTTTGTGATGTCAACGAACACTCGTTGCCACTTTTGTGATGTCAACGATTAACTGATGTCACTTTTGTAATGCTCTTTGTAGTAGAGACTTTGTAATCGCAGATACAACTATAGTAACGCTGTTGAACAAGTCAGACGCCTTCGAATAGCACTCGCTCGATAATAGTCGCTCGAAAAGTAATCACCGAATAGTGATCCGAATAGTAATCCGTATAGTAATGATATTCACTAACCGCCCCACGCAGTCGGATGCGGCACAAGGCCGAGTTTATTGTGGGGTATCCGAGCCCATCGGCCCGGGCAAAAATATCCCCATAGACACCGTAAAACGGGATCGGGTAGCTGTCTGCCACCCCAGACGAGACTCTGCCCTTTGGCACAGCCTCGTCTAGATTCCTCCCTACACAGAGGCATAGAGTTCGACAAGCACACCTCCGAAGTAATCCGTATAGTGATCAGTATAGAGAAATAGTATAGTGAATAATATAGAGAATAGCGATCCATATAGTAATAGAGGATAGAATAGAAAGAGTGATCGTTTAGACGCCATACTGATTCCTATTCATGCGTTTCCTCTATGGTCATGTGATCTAATTAATTCAGTAATGGGATCGCCTGTGTTTGCTCACTGGCGATCTATGTTCAAACTCAAGTGTCGGCAGTGACACTTTATTCCTATACAACACAAATGACACCCCATCTTTATGAGATCGACAAAGTAACCGATTTGATTAGCACACAAATATTTCGCTTATAGTGATGCTATAAAAAATATAGGCTTATAATTTTCGATTTAATAACCCGCTTATAGTTATCAAATAAAATGATTATCATTAAATTATCATATGAAGAAAGTATACGCTTATATGTTTCGCATTAAGAATTCTCTTATACTTATTAAAAAAAATAATTCCCATTAAATTATCGCAGATTGAATTAATTTATTATTAGATTTCGGACTATGAATTCCTCGTTCGAATGCCAACAAGACCAACGTGAGGAAACGGAGACGATTCACGTGAGCAGCACCGTTTGGAAGTGCATGAAAACCGAAACCGCCATTTTTGAGTGAAGTTGAAATGTGCTAGCGTAACTATCGTCGTTGTTTATGCATACCATGTCGTAAGTCATCGAGAGCTCTAGGCTAATGGTCTTGTTCAAAAACTGATCTCGCCAAATTGGACAGTCTCTCCGAGAAAATGTAAGTAAAGTCCGATCGACATAATTTCAGTATAGAACAAGTGTTAAGTGCCTGGGTGTTGAAAAAACAAAAATATGCCTGAACTGGCGTCTGCAACAGGGATTACCTAACCACTCTTTAGTTTTCCGAGATTGACTGATATGAGTATTTGAATCCGATAATAGGTCAACTGAATCTTGTATCACCAACAAACAGCGGCAATTCAACAAATCCTTACTCATAGCAGAAACATATTACATTACTAAAAGAAAGCAAACACATACCGTCCTAGGTAAGACGACAAACTACATCCGAAAGCAAGGTCTCTGATCAGGAGGTTTTGAAAAGCCTGGAAACACCTCTTAATTGCTGGTGTTCCTAGGCCCACTTTGACCCTTGGGAAAATAGTTAACTCCAAATTAGGGAAAAAAAACTATGACAGTGTAAAAATAGGTTTTAGTACCAGCAATACATTTTTATAAAAAAATTATTACCAACAATGAATTTTTGAAGGAAAACATTATTACAGCAATATATTATTACCAAAAATACATTTTTGAAAAAACAAAATATTACCAGAAATACATTTTCGAAGGAAAAAAATATTACCAGCAATACATTTGTGAACAAAAATATTACCAGCAATAAAAATCTTGTCGGCATAAAATAACCCATTGTGGTTGATACGCCGTAAAACGTAACAAGTCAAACCAATAGATAGATAGATAGATAGATAGATAGATAGATAGATAGATAGGTGTGAATAGACAGAGATAGATAGATAAAGAGAGATATGTCAATAGACTGAAATAGATAAATGTGAACAGACTGAAATAGATGTGAATGGACTGAAAAAGATAGATAGATAGATAGATAGATAGATAGATAGATAGATAGATAGATAGAAAATATAACCAGCAATAAAAATCTTGTCGGCATTAAATAACCCAATGTGATTGATTCGCCGTAAAACAAAACAAACCAATACATAGACAGATAGATAGATAGATAGATAGATAGATAGATATAGCCAGCAATAAAAATCTTGTCGACATTAAATAACCGATTGAGGTTGATACGCTGTAAAACGAAACAAACGAAAAAGCACAAAACGAAACAGCATTAATCATAAAAGGCAAACAACCCGATGTCTATAAAAATTACGGACAAATATTCTAAACATATTTTATATTAAAAAAAAAACAGTTTCTACATCACGAATTGGTACGCGTAAATTCTCGAGACTCTAAAAAACCGAGATGACGAATGAAGTAGATATTTAAAAATTGATAAATGAGACATAAAATTAAAAAATCACAAACTTATGTCTGAGAACTTTGGGCTTATGAAAGCCGAAAGTGCTCAAACATTGGATGATTTATATTTAAACTTAATTAATATTTAAACGAAGAGCAGAAAAATTGTTCGAAATATACAAAAAAATGAACAAAAAGTATCATTAACAACGAATCTTCGTTGGTATTTAACTAAGCCTGCATAAATGATAAACTACTTCCTTAAGACACTTAATAAATCGATAGATACATACATAGGAATAGACTGAAAGACATAGATAGATAGAGAGATAGATAGATAGCCACTTGTACAAATTAATTGAAACAAAATGAATTCCGTTATTACTTTGTTCGTATTTTCCAATGTTAGTACTTCTTATTTCCATTCTACGAAGTTGTTCCTTGCAGACTGATCACAAATTCTTGATTGTATTTAAATCAGGAGAGTTTCCGGGAGAGTCTATAATACTTTGATTTGCTCACTGGTAATGCTTGCCAGTGTGTTCGTGCAGCATTACAATTTTTGTGCGCTTCATTGGAATAACGTCCGTGGCAGACAATGGCCATAGGACATCTAATCGACAGTCGAGACAATAGTGTGTGGTGATGATTAAAATCTGATGCAATCACGGATGACGCAATATTTTCATGGCCAAACAAATTTCATCATACACCCCGAAAAAAGATTCATATTACTGCACACCTAATCAGCAAATCTGAGGGGAAAAAATCGATTACAGCCTGTCACTCCAGTGGGTCTAAAACTGACCGTATGGGGAAACAAAGGAAACTAAAGTGCTTGTTTCAGTTAATTTGCACAAGGGGATAGATAGATAGATAGATAGATAGATAGATAGATAGATAGATAGATAGATAGATAGATAGATGTATGTATGACTGAAGCCTTCTTCTATAAAAGATGAAATGTTATTGTTACGCATCAGGTAAACAATTTTACGCTCAAGAAGAAATTGACAATGACAGATTACCTGAGCCCTAGTCAAGAATAAATATTTTTCTTTAATTGGTTGTAAGATATCTATTCCCCTTTATGTGGAGGAAACCAATTGGTACATTGCTCATTTGGTAAAACTTTACCTTACCGCATCTTCCAAAAGGTAACGATATATCAGCACAATTTTTGTCAAAGGCAAATATGTAAAATATATATATATACTAGTATTATTACTGTTATACAATCTTATACTTTCTTAGCACATCAAGACGTACAACATACGAGGGTGTGCTGAAAAGCTTTCAGCCAGACTAAACGATCCTTTCAAAAAAAAAAAAATATGATATTAGCTAAATTTCTGGAAGTCACTCGGTCTGAAAATTTTTCAGCACCCCCTCGCAAAAATCATGTATTTCTAATGTGGATTTTCAATGCAGAATGAAAATTGGTTTGGCGTGGGTCTAACAAATTATTTTTTTAAATCAATTCACGCCAAGCAAGGCATATAATGCCACTAAGATGGAAAGGGTTACTGGGAGTTACAGAGAATAAGAAGACATTAAGATGAACCGGAAATCGAATCCTAAACAGGAAACAAGGGATAATTCTCTACTCCTGTTTAAAAGACAGGAAAGGATTGTGACAGTGACCATATATTTCACAGAGATTCTATTGCTTCATGAAGATTGAGATCCTAATATTTCTCCGCTGGTCCTTTTATAAATGCGTGTGTTTTGTCGTCATTCGCTCAATTGAGAGAGCTAACGTATACTTTTATTTCAACACGTATTATGAAAAGGCCGATATTTCAAATTCATTAGAAGCGTGATTATGAATTATTTAATGAGATAAAAAGCGCTGTTTAAACGTTTACATTTCCACATTCAAAAACGAAGTCATTTAGAAACTTCTCTGATCAAAAGGTTCTAAACTTTTTTTCTTTTTCTTTTTTGTTTTATTTTGTTATCAATACTTCTTGTCATTATTAATTTACAAAGTGTTCAAACATATTTAACTGGTGGCTCATACAGGAGATCAAGTGAGCGCTTTATTCGTTTCCGATGATAACCCTCTACCATACCGGCTAGCCAATCCTTGTAGCTGACGCCTGCTCAGTCCACCTATGGCTGATACCAGAGCAGACCTTAGAGTTTCTGGGTGAAAGTATATATTCTAACGGTATCACTAGTTTTAAAATGATCAATACACCCTAACCTTCGATCGGGATTACTTGTAGGTTCGGGGTTTTCCAATAATTCCGTCTAATCAATTTAATTTAGAAGGCTTGGGTAAACACGTAATATGGTTCCTCAACGGTGCCGAACGCTGGGATCGCCAATAGCATCAAGAAATTACCTCTCAGTCAAATCAAACGTTGCAAGATTGAAACCCTGGTCGTGATTTTCTAAGCATACCGGATATGTGCCACAAGGCCGAAAGGATGGGGCGCCCAGTGAGGATCGAACTCACTATCCAGTCGTAATTGATCTAGCGAGAAAAACTTGCTAACCATTCCACCACGTCAAAATACACCGAACCCGGTTTTCATGTCTGGAAAGCGAATGATGTTACCACTGGTGCGCGCATTTTAGTACTCGACCTATTTTCAATAATTCTCATCTGTTGGCGCTATTAAATCTTCCCCCAATTTTCAGTTTTGTAGGGTTTTTTGGGTTTTTTTATTAGGCTCTACTTAGCCTCTCCCAGTGCACCCATAACAACTGTAACGACTGGCAAATTCATGTTCCACAATTTCTGCGTCTTTACGAAAACGTCGAGTTCTATATCGCTATTTTCATTTCGTTTTGCTTTCTTTCAGATCAACTTACGGTCTATCACAACCAATGGGGCACATCGAGCTGGTGTAACGGTTAGCAAGCTTGTCTCGCTAGAACAATTACGGCTGTGTAGTGAGTTTGATTCTCACCGGGTGCCCCCTAATTTCGGCCTTGTGCCACATCTTAGCTATGCTTGGAAAATCACTATCACAACAGCCGATTCCCCTCACTTCCATGTTTTCTTTTCTTTAACGCTGCCAGATTTGGTCTTCTGGTCTGACTTCGATCATCCCTTTGTATCTCGAAATTGCAGATAATTATATGCTTCATAACCTGCGACAGATTCTCTAGTATCCATTGACGCTTGTACAGTTCCCAATGAATGTCCTTTCCCTTTCAACTATGCCGAGTTTTGACTTCTTTCTATGCTCAGATCAATAATCATGAGCTACACTGTCTTATTTTTATTGTCACACAATCTAAGTTCCCTATTTATTACTGTTTTACCAATCTTGCCCTTAATAGTTTCTGTCCTAACGGCGTTGTTCTGCTTAAACCGACTCAGTGTCTCCTTTAAGGTTTCCTGGGCGATAAGGAAATTAGACATAGAATACGGAGTGCTAGGGATAGTTTCGTACAACACCATAAGTTGCTACAAAACCAAAACTTTAACTTAAAACTCAAGTCACATTCTCCAACATCCTCGTCGGATCGAGACATTCATATGTATGTCATGGCGCTAAACCCTTTCAAAATTTCTAAACTGCCAGCTGTATACTACCGCGGATTAATTTTGAGTGAATGAACATTGTAGGACTTAGCAGGGATAATCCCTCTTTAAATCTCGTAAAGGAGCCATTTCCTTTTAATGAAAACCTCAGCATTCATTGACCAAGCAGTGCTACTTTCGGTTAAAATTTATGAAATCTTTCTCTTAGAACGTTTATTCCAAAATAGGTTTTGCAATTCTAGTAAATGTTACTTCTCTGTCCCGTATTAAAAGGGGTTTCCTACCTATCCTTTTGTTTGGAGTAGTGTGGAACATCAGCATCTTAACTATACCAAATAACAGAAACTACATCACATGTGAATATTCAATATCAGTAACACCTAAATTGAATAGCACATGTAGCTCGAAGAGAAAATAATGACAATGAATAAGGGAAGGATGAAGAGAAGGATGGGGAATCGAGCAATGCATCAGGAGATGTCGATTGACATTGCATTTGAATAATTGGCGATTATAGCTATCAGAGAAGCACGTAAGAGGAAGGGAGTTCCACAGACGGGAAGTGCGAGACACGAAGCTGTTGGAGTAGAAGAGACGGATACATTTAACAGTTTCTACAGTAAAAGGTCGGGACTAAGATGCCAAACTAGGAGCATGGTTAAATGCAGTTTGGGAACCAGCGAAAGTAGCTCGTCGTAGCAGTTAACGTGTAAGTATTTGTAGAAAAATTGTAGATCATTGATTCTCAACGTGGGACGCATGCCCGACCGGTGGGGGTATGGTAATATTCTGATGGGGTATGCGTAGGATGTGCACCCGTCGGCTTATTATACCAACAGAATAAGAGAGCAATTCGACAATGAGTTATTAACGGTTATGTATATTGATTTGTTGTTACCATTTCCATCTTTATATTTAGCTGAATGTGGCTTTAGTGCTGTAAATGATTTGTTATTGAAGAAAATAAATCAACTGGATATCACTAAACGAGAAGACTTGAGGCTTAAGCTGACTAAATTGGTGCCGAACATAAAATCTCTCTGTAACAGTCATGACGCACAAGGATCTCACTAACAGTCATTTTGTGATGAATTCAAATTTCATTTGGCATTATTATTTCCTGATTAAAACGATCAAAGTATATTACAGAATAAACTTTCATTCTAATATTTTATATTTCTTCCTTTCAGTTCTCTATTATAAGTTTTGAAACTATACATATATTTAAAAATCTTTTTTTTAATTTTTTTCTCTTTGATGGACGCCATAGTCTTTGGAGGTTTGTTTAGAGAACAAATTAATGGCTTTTTAAGCTCCCTTCGCGTGAATTGCAGTAATATTTTGAATATGTAAGAATTAAAGATTATGGGGTGGGGGTAGCATCAGAATTTTAGAAATTTTAGAAATACCAAAGTGGGGCATGGCTCAAAATCGGTTGTGAACCAGTGCCCTAAATGAAATGCTGGAATGGTTATGGTCAGACAAGCTAATCTCTGTTACTGAGCTGCTTACTTACTGTAATCCATCTTAATTCTGCAAGATGAAACTAGAACATCTTAAAACCTCCTAGTTTGGCATCATTACATTTATTATTATTATTATTATTATTATTATTATTATTATTATTTTCTTTGATTTCTGGTAAATTCTCATTTCTTTCCGGGACCCGAACAGAGACCTAAGTTCAAAAATGAGATCATGACATTTACCGCTGAGCAGTTTTGAAAACAAAATCACACATATTTTGCATAGATAAAGTCCATCCTATGGTGTGCCCTGTACTTGAGAGAACAATTTTTTTGTATTTCATTAAGGCATGGGCTACCAGGGATTCCTCCAATGGGTCTATTGGATTGTTTTCCAATCAATCCGAGTACTCCGACTACAACTGGAATTGTTGATATCTTCATGTAACACATTTTAGAGATTTCGATTTCAAGGTCTTTGCATCTTGACACTTTTTGAAGATCTTCAAAGATACGTTGCAGTCTGCAGGAACTGTCATGTCAATAAGAAGGCACATTTTGTCTTTGCCGTCTCTAATCACGATGTCTGGGCGATTAGCTTTGATTGTTCTGTCCGTGTATTGTAAAGTCCCATAAAATTCTTACAGGTCCTATCTCCGTAACCTGGTCTAGTTAGTGCTCATACCAATTTCTTGCAGTTTCCTTTCTGTAAAAGTTACAGATTTTCCTGTGGAGGTATAGGCCCACTCTGTAATGTGGGTGCCAACATCGCGCAACTTGATACAATTGTGTCTTGTCTTTGCTTTGTTCAATACTAGTTGACCCCAAGGTTCAATCAGAGACTTCAAACGACAAGTCTTCTCGTATGTATCAGAAGATGCAAACTGATGAGGTGTCAGGCAATCAGAAAGAAAAAAATTTAATAGAATCGTGGTCACTGAATATAAAAAAAACGCCAATGAGTATGAATTTTGCAATTCA